AATAATTAATTTAGAAGTAGAGTAAAACATTTTAGAGACCAAGAATAAAATTTTTGCAATATTTAGGAAATACTGACTAAATGTGTCAAATTCTCCAAAATATGGTTTGACTTGACTTTGACCCATTTTGACTACATAGGATTAGTTTTCTCATGTTTTGGATGGATAAGGACTTGGAATGTACACTAGAAAAGTTACATTCCCACTTATTAGAACTTTGGGTCATAATTGTCAAAAACTTAAAATTATGGAGTGGAAAGTGTAAAATTCAGAAATTAGAGGCTCACACTCTTCATTCCAGCAGATGGGATCAACTTCGAGGTTTGAAGTTTGTGGAGATATGGCGATTCAAGCATAGAAGGCCATACCATTCGATCTCGATCTTTTCTAATTCATTTGGAGCATATTGTGAAGCAATCTAGTGGTCTAAGGTATAACTTCTTTTCCCCCTTGGTTTGCAAACCCGAAATTCAAATGTTGTTTAGGGTTGAATCCAATTTTATCTGATTTTATCATGAAAATCTTATCCATCTTTTTTCATTGTTGGAATATAAAATTCCCGCCCTTTTTCAACTAAAATGATAATTATATATTTTTAGGAGGATTAATTCGAGTATTGGGAATGTTATTCCTTACTCAAAATGAGTTGATCCTTGTGTAACTCCCTAGACATTTCATTTTCTCACTTATTTTGGATATATGTTCAGATTGAGAGGCATGGTGCTTATGAGATAGCATGGATTTTAGAGGACCCCGACTTTTGGGGAACTTGAACCTTTGTTATGATACCTAATGAATAACCTTGCTCCTTAAAACTTTTTATTCAATTTTTGGGAACCATTGAAATTTTTTGCATCAATTTGAAACTTTTGAACTTAATAGAGTTCACATTTTGGTTAAAAATGATTTTACAACTAAGCCCTAGCAAGGGTTTTTTCAGTTTTGGTCCCATTCTTGGATGTTCTTGGAGTTTGAGGAACTCCAGATCTTAATATTACATTCTTATAATCATGGACTTCCATTAAGTAAGAAAAAGGTTTTAGTTTGAGAGTTTTTGGTCCCATGTGTAAGTTTTGGTCATATTAACGACTTAATGGACTTAGGGTTGGAGATCTTGCCTTGGAGTGAAGTCCTAAGGGATAAAGATGGAAACTTTTATCCATTAAGTCATTGAGAAGGATTAGATCTGAAGTTTTGAGCCTTGATCTGTAAGGACTAAACTCTTAATGAAGATTTGACGAAAACTGCAAGTGACCATGATATGGCTAAGGAATGACCACGATATGGTGAAGTTCAAAATTGCAACTGTATTGTCGTGGGATTCTCACGACCTGGACAAGGAGGGCCCACGACGTGGCAATGTCTGGAATGTTAACTGTCTTGTCTGAACATCCCTACGACGTGGCCAAGAGGGTATCCACGTTGTGGTGACTGTTGACTTGGTTGACAGTTGAATCTTGTTGACCATTGATCGTTAACTTTTGACCAGTTTGAATTGGGGTCAAACTTAGAGATTTAGGATTGTTGATTGAGAGTTTATCTCTTTGATGTTAGTTAGTTCGCTGGATTGAGCAATGCAAGGTGTGAGAGTGTTGTTGTGCTTCTCCGGATCTTCAGTTCATGTGAGTTTCTCACTATGTCATGTATCCCATTGTATATCCTTTACATGGTAAGATAGAGGTACCATTAAAGTACGAGTATGCTAGTTGACTAGGTTAACTCCTTGTTATGCCTGCACAATATAGGACACTGGGTGTCATGGTATGCTAGACTGATAGAGTCTTGTTTGAGGATTATATGATGTTGCTAGGTTTCATGATTGGGTAGGGTAATGATAGTATTGATTGTTCGTTGAATGTTTACCCTAAGGGATTGTATGCAATCAAGTTGGATAGCCTGAGAACTCTTGGTCTAATGCCAGACTACATGGTTCATGTTTGATTTATTGCTTTTGGGTGAATCATCTGTTTGAATGTCTATCTAATTCCAACTATGTATGACTTTGGCATTATATGGAAGACCAGAATTTGGCACCTGGAAATAGAACAGAAGACCAAGATGTAGCTCATAGCAATGGAGTTTGGGCTAAGCCTGTTTACTCCTTGGGTGGGGCCCGTTATGTATGGTTGGGCAGGGCCCGTTATGTGAGTTGGTATGGGACCATGAACTCTTGGGTTGGGCCCATTAAGTATGTTATATGTATGAGAATAGGAGTTTCGGTTGCTCGATGCTAGAGTCGAGGATTATATGTCGATGCATTGTATGTATGGAGGAATATGTGGTATATTGAGGAACTCACTACTTTATGCTTACAGTTGTTGATTAAACACTTTGCAGGTCGTTCGTGAGAAAAGCTCGGCGAGACTATACACACACGTCAAGGATATTTGTTTCCGCCGTTTTGTAAGTTTAACTCTGATAATGTTATGATTTTCAATCAATCAAATGTTGTTCAACATTTTTTGAGAAAAAAAAGCTTTAACTGGTAATCTATTAAAAAAATGAAAAATTTCTTTGTAGTTTTCGAAACTTTACAACACAGTGAGTCAAGGACAGTGAACAGGAAGTCAGGAAGCACCAAAGCAAGCTCTAAATTTTTCGATTTCTTGTTTTTCCGTTTTCACGATGCATCGATCTCAATTTCTCAGGTTTCACTCTCGGGTAAAGTTCGATTTCCCCCTCTCAGTGTAAATACTTCTTTTTCTGAGTTTAATTTGATGAATCTAAGTTTGTAATTTGTGGTGTTAAACTGTTAAATTGATGAATCTGAGTTTGCTTTCGATTCCATCTGTTTTGATCTACTTCTGTTTTTTATTTCTTGAGATGCTCCATTTCTCGACAGGCTCCTTAGCTTCTGTTAGTAAGTACTAAGTAGTTTTTGTTAATACTGATTTTTTAAAGGTGCATAACCCCCTTTTTAATTAATAGATGTTGAATGTGTGTAGTTACTATCTATTTTTAATTTCAGGTTAATCTTAGCTTCTGTTATGATGATCTATTTAGTGTTTATGATGAATCTAAAATTAATTTGTTAATCCATTAATCTGAGATCGAGCTTAAATCCGAGTTTGATGTTAAATGTTTGATTGATGTTAACTGTTTAATAAAATCTGAGTATGATTCATTTGTTTTTAATTAATCCTCAAACCGACGTAATCCGACTCATGGTCACCTAGAAATATAATGATGTATATTGATTCGTATATGAAGATAATATGGTTTTATATGGTGATGAAATAAAAATAATATAAAATCACTACATTTTTTTTACTTGTTGAATTGACACTTGATTTCCATACTCACTACGATTTTTTAAATTGACACTTGATATCCATACACTCACTACGTTAGGATTTTCTTTTCCAAGGACACTAGCTATACAAACCAATTTTCTATGAGAATCCACATACTATCTCTATTATGAGCGATGGTTGTAGAAACATCAACAATCATTGATTATTTTATAGCTTTTTAAGTATATTAAATCATATTTTCATTAACTTTTTTTAATAAAATTTATTATTACGAATCTTTGATTATTAACCAATTTGAAGAATTTTTTAAAAACTTAATTAATAAATTTATTTTTGATTTTGAAATGTAAACATATAGTCTTTCATTTAATTTGTTATATATATATATATATATATATATATATATATATATATATAATATTTTTCTTAAAAAGAGCATTACTTGAAAATAATATTTAATAAAATAAATATCTACATCTACATCTACATTTCTACATCTACATTTTCTAATAAAAGAATCCAGAATATGCCACATGTCAACTTTTTAAAAACGATATTGGCACGTGTCATTTTTCTGTATTCTTATTTTTTTATTATCCCGCTTAAACCATAAAATCTGTTTCAATTTTTATTTTCATAACTATATTGCATAAAATCAAGGACTTTCCGAATTGTACCCTATAAATAAGTTCGATGCCTATTTTCTTGATAATACAAATCCCTAAAAATTAGTAAAAATTAGTAATAAGATTATCTTGAAGAAATTGTCAAGGTAATCACAATCAACCAAGAATTTTCTTGAAATATTACTCAAAATTGAATCTATAATGCGTTTTCATCCACTCAATATTACTCAAAATTGAATCTATAATGCGTTTTCATCCACTGCAAATTCTAGATAACAGATGATGATCTTAAAAATTAACACATTTGTTGATAATATGTTTATATTAAAATAACATGCAAATACCATTTTATTCATCCACTCAAATTGTTCGTTCTTAAAAACAGAAACCTACATTATTGAAGATCGATGCAACTAATAACAAAGAAAAATAAAACATTTTTTGAGTATCCCTTTGATTAGTCTTTGATACATAAAATTAAAGTATATAATATTTTGTAGATGCATCATATGAAATACCAATAGAATATACTTTTAATACTTAAAAGAATGAAAATGTAGCGTAATTTATTCACATTTAAAATGTCCAGACATGTAATTATCAATGGTTGTAGTTTATGATTTCTTAAACATAATTTATGGATTTTGTTGATCAATATATCATTGCGTTTTTTCATATTTTTGATTTAATGTAGAAAATTCTTTGTATAATTTTGAATTAAAATAGAAAATTCTTTCTATTCATCTTTAAACATCAAGACAAATATCAAAATTGACTATCTATTGGTTTTGAGGAATGGAGATATTAATCTTTGGATGAGATTTTAAAAGGGTAAATGTCATATTAACCCAACGAACTTTTCACGTTTGTCCGATTTAGTCACTAAAGTTATTTTTCTGCGCAATAGGTCACTAAACTTGTTGGTAACCTGTTAATTACACCATTTTACCTGATTTTATAGGTTGCCAAGTTTGACTTGCCATTTTACTCCGATCTACGTCACCTCAAAATCATTATCTCCTTCTTTCCTTTCCTCTCTACACATCTAGTTGCATTCTTCGTTCTTTCCTCTAATCACACACATTTGGGTTTGACTCTCATTTGAATTTGGAATTAACAATTAAGAATTGAGGATGATTTTATCATAAATGGTTTGACGATTCAGAGAAGCTTCAATGGTGGTGGTGAATTTATACAGAATAATTGCAATAATTCCAGCAGACAAACCTCCCAGCAACGCCTGAAGAGGTAACGGATGAGCATTTGCCTCAACCGGCGTCATTGCTTTCAAACTCTCAAGTGTCTCCTCCTTCAACGTCTTTTTAGTTTCTGTTCTTGTAGACCTAAATTTCTAGTCCATAGACAAAATTCTCAACTCAATCATTGCTAATACTCGCATATAACTTCAATAGGTTTAGTTGCGAATCATAATTAGGTTTATACAAATCAAACCCCTGTGATAGAGAGAGAGAGAGAGAGAGAGAGAGTATGAACCAGTTCTTTGGCGCGCTTTGCACGGCGACGGAGGGAGCGAAAGAGGAAGATGGAGACGGTGCCGGTGAGGAGAACACTGGTGGCGACTTGGAGAGTGGTAGGGTCATCGTCGGTGGAGATAAATAAAGGTATAGAGAAGGTGAGTTCGATGGGTCCATCTTCAGGCAAGGCCGAATCGGGGAGTTGAGCTAGCAATGGGGCAAGAGGCCGGTTTCAGAAAGGGTATTTTACCTTTAAATCCGGTCGATGGGTCCATCTTCCTGGCATGTATATTACCTTTGAATCCGGTTGCAGGTAACAAAAGGGTATTTTAAAACATGGGAATGAGAGTTTAGGGATAATGACTTAAAAGGGTAACATATTTTTCGATTTGTACACATTTGGTCACTAAGTTTTTTTTTCGTACACATTTACCCCTTCAACTTGTTAAACTGTACACATTCAGTCCTTATGACCTGTTACTACAGGTTAGCCGGGAAAAATGACTTAATAGAGTAATATATTTTTCATTTTGTACACATTTAGTCCTTAATATTTTTTGTACATATTTAGTCTTTAACATTTTTTTTGTTTCAAATAAGTCCTTTTTTTGTACTCATTCAGTACTTATGAATGATTTATTTAGTTTTTTTTCACGACATCTTACGTGTGACAATCATTGATGAGGTGTTTGGGGTTGTTGATGTTTACGTCCAACGTGATCTCGACTGCTTGGTTGCGTAAGTCTTGTGGTTTGGCTTAGGTCTTGTATTTTGAACATCATAACTTCTTCATACGATATCAGATTTTAACGATCTTTATATCCATGTGTTCATTTTTTGAGTCTACTACAACTTTCATTAAGATTACTCCCGTTAAAATGTAATATATTTTTACTAACGATTTTATAAAAAACATCCATACATGCATTCATAAAAAATGTATGGACAGGGGAAGACGCAGGAATACATAGTAAGTGTTGCCGAGATGAAATAGGTGTTGCCGATACATGGAAAATAGGTATAAACGAAAAAAAGAATCGAAAATTTTTCCACTGCGAACAAAAAAAACAGGTGTTGTCGGTGCAACACCGGTACCATAGTAAATCCGCCACTGCGTATGGATATAAAAATCGTAAATATATTATTTTTTAATGAGAGTAATCTAAATGAAAGCTGTAGTAGACTAAAATACGAACTCATGTATATAAAGATCGTTAAAATCCGAGATCGTATGAAGAAGTTATGACGTTCAAAACACATGACCTAAGCAACCAAGTAGTTGAGATCGCGATGGATATAAGCATCAAAAGCCTCATACACCTCATTAATGAATGTCTCACGTAAGATTTCGTGAGAAAAAACTAAAGAAATCATTCATAAGTACTGAATGAGTACAAAAAATGACTTATTTTGCAACAAAAAAAAAGGACTAAATGTGTACAAAAATATTAAGGACTAAAATGTGTATAAAGTGAGAAATATATTACCTATTAAGTCATTTTTACCGGGTAACCTGGAGTAGCCGGTCATAAGGACTGAATGTATACAGTTTAACAAGTTGAAGGGGTAAATGTAGACGAAAAAAAAACTCAGCGACCAAATGTGTACAAATCGAAAAATATACTACCCTTTTAACTTTATTATCCCGAGAGTTTATTACTTTAATGTGCAAAAAAAAAAATAGTTTAGTGACCTTTTAAAACAAACGCGAAAAGTTTGATGGAATAACATGACATTTGCCCATTTTAAAAGTGGGTTTTTTAGAATGTCAAAGAGGGTTTGTTTTTTTTTTTTCTTTTCCACAGGCCTTATAAGTTTAAAAGATGGGGCTTTAGTTATATGTAATACAATAAAGAAAAAATTTTGTTTGATAAAAAAGAGAAATTTTAATTTATATATTGCTTAACAATTAGTTTATGTGTATGAAGTGCGCTCAAGTTTTGCAAATGTTAATTTCAAAAATGTTTTAGGTTGTCACCCCGTGTAATACACGGGTTATAACCTAATATTATAATATGATAAAATCAGCCTCAATCCAATCATAATTTAAACACAAAACAAAAACTTGAAAAATATCCCTTGAAAACCTTCCTATATTTTTTTTGAGAGAGATTTAAAAAATAGCAAAAAAGATTTGACAAAGTCACCTTAATTGAGAGTAAAACTCCATTGGCTGCTCCTCGTCGTCTATTTTGTATTTTTGTTCATTGTTTTAAATAAAAAAATTTATATATGATACATGACAAATTAGAGTTTTGGGGCCCCACGTCGTTACAAGGCTTGGGACGATCGTCCAAGTTATCCTACTCATTAGTACGATCCCGATTAAAATGAATAGTCCTAATCTAATATAATGTTATATGAAATATTATCACAAAAATGAAAAAATAAATTCATTGCATGTATTGTTAGAAAAAAAAAGTATCATATAAACAAATCTATTATTCGACATTTGACATATAAATATAATAAAATAAATAAATATAATTTAATTTAATTTTAACATGAAATTTAAATATAATTAAAAATAAAAAAATGATTTTATCACTCAACAAAATCAATTAGATTATATAACCAAAAAGTTGGTTTTATTCAAAGACATATTTATTTAAAGTCTATTTATCATTCGGCCTTTGATTCAGTTTTTAATAAAACAAACAACCCCTCAAAGGCTCAAACAAATATAAGTAGGTTGGCAATAAATTGAGTAAATTACACAAATGGTCCCTATGGTTTAAGTTAATTTATACATTTTGTCCCTAATTTATTTTTTTAACTCGGAAGGTCTTTACTGTTTGTTTTCGTTACGTGCTTGGTCTCTGTCTTACCTAAAAAGACTATTTTACCCTTGATTTTTAATTTATTTAAATAAACACAACACCAACCCCACCTCTTTCACTTTACCTTACATACCCTATTATTTTTCTCTATTTAAATAATAAACTTTTTAGGTAAGACAGGAACCAAACACGCAACAAAAACAAACAGTAAGGACAAAGCGCGTAACAAAAACAAACAGTAAGGACCTTCCGAGTTAAAAAAATAAGTTAGATACCAAATGTGCAAATTATCACAAACCATAGAGACCATTCCTGTAATTTACTCCAAGTAAAAACTACTCTAGGTTGATTGTAATCAAAATATTAATGTAATGCTGACGTCGTGAAAATCGTGTCCATGAGACAATGACAATGATATTTTTTAGCTCGATAGCGATTATACTATTCATTATTAAAAATAAAAAATTATAATTTACATGAGAAATTCTCTTATTGATGATTTACAATCGAATATCAGTGCTCTCAAACCAAATTTGCTTGAATACCTTGATGATCAAGTCATGATAATCATCGGAATTCAATAGAAGATAGCATGCAAGAAGATCCTCCAAATCCTTTGAACTCTTCATGTTATTTTGCATTATCATCTCCACCATTGATTCTTTAAAATCCCTACCAGGATCCACCGATGTTTTAACCACCGCCATACTCTCCGACAGACTCCGACGGTAACCATTGCTTCTCCGGCCGCCGCCGTTTATTCCCTGTACTCTAACTCTGTTCCCCACTCTCGGCGAGTAACAGTTTCCTTTGATCACTTTCCCTCCTGTACTTCTTCTAACCGGACTACGTGTTGTGTGTGTCGTCGGAGTCTCCATAACGTCCTCCTTCACAACTTTCATCGATAAACTCCGGCTTCCGCCGTCTATCATCCATTTACCGGATTCGAGTCCCTCTTTTTTCGTTGACTTCGTAATGATCGGCGGGAGGTCAACTTTCCCATATACTTCGTCGTACGATGAAGTCGTGTTACACGAACAACTGAGGGATTCACGAGACGAAACAGGTAGTTCAGGCGATAGGAATTCAATGTCAGAAGAGTTGGAAGCTGTCCAAATGGACTCCGGAGTGACCCGACAGTAGCATCTTCGGGGTAAAGTGTGTTCCCCGGAGACTGATTTCTGTTGAACTGGTTTCTTGTGGGTGGGAGGTCTTCTTTTCTTCGATGACTTTCTTGGTGTTTCCGGTGACTGCGTTTTCGGTGGTGGTGAGTCTTCTGTTAAGTCTCTAGGGAAGTAGTAGGATTTCCTCTGGTCGGCGACGAGATGATCTTTGGTGTGGGGATTGGAGGAAGATGATGATTGTTGTTTTTTGGTGATTTTGTTCTTGTGAAACCAAGAATTGTATATGAAGTTGGAAAGTTTAAGCCGATAATTGGCCATGGGGAAATGGGTCGAAAGCTGAGGGGTGAAACAGATGGAAGCTTTTAGAACAATGGATTAATGGAGGACACCTGCGGGGTGAGTATTGAGGAAGATAAATAAATACAGATTATGGGGTGACGAGAGGTGGGGGACCAAGAAGGCCAAAAAGTCACGTACAAAACAAAAAAAAATCTAGTAGGGCCCGACAATGGCTGGTAAAGATGCGTAATTGGTAATGCTAAATTGTCACTAAATTTTATATTAATTAAAGGTATTTTAATTTCATAATCAAAATAAAAATAAAAATTGAAATATGCCACTAGGGAGTTTTTAACTTGTCTACTGTTAAAAAATAATATATATATTAGAGCTGGTCAATTGAATAAGTGGATGCATCTTATCCACTAAAGAGGTCATGCTGAATCGATCTCAAGATTCATCAGGTGGAAGAGTAAATCGTGAGTTATATATCAACAATATTTTTGAATGTGGCACAAAACCCCTAACCTTTTGTTAAAAGTTATATACATCAACATGTTTGGGATGTGGAGTTTGCTTTTGAACCTAATCACCACTACTCCAACATAGCCATGTGGTCTCAATCCCAAAAGAACGAGAGAAAGTGAAGGGGGTGTCCGTCGAGGGGTCTAGAGGCATCGTTCACATTAGCTAATGATTCAAGAGATCTTGGATCATAGATTTGAGGCTAGAGATTTCATGCCAAAGATTGGACCATATAATATTAAACTCGAGATTTTGAGTTGTAGAGATTGTTAGAGACTAGAGACCAAAGGGCTCCAAATCTCTTTGGTGGCATGGTAATAAGGGAATTATGTATGATTGTAATGAGTCCAAATTGCAGATGATTGGGCGAATAAGACAGATTCAATAAACAATAATCAAGATGTGAATGTACCTCGCGAAATCTACCTAATCAAAACGAGGAAAAAAGATATGCAAGAGAACTCAACGCCATACAAGGATACATGTACATTCTCCCTCACACTCTCACCGTATCCTCATATATAATACATTATCTCCATGTCCTAATTTAGACATCATTAGTATTGCCGATGACAACCTAGTAATGCTCCTCACGTTTCTTGTATTGTCTTCAAGATCGATGTAACATCAATAGGATTTGGCTTTGGATACGTAGTTGACTTGTTTTCTCATTATATATAGATATTGTGTATCTTGTATACACTAATGTTCAAAACTAATAGAAAACATTCATAGATCATCTCTGGACATATCATGATTACTTGAATCCTACGACCCAAATTGAACCATGTGATATATACATATTTTTAACATTCGTATCATCAATTATGAGTTTGTCATGATTAACCCTAAAACAACCGTTAGATTTGCATTGTTGAATCAATTTACATATATATAGTTTAAACAAAATGCATGTTTATTTCAAATTAAATGTAAGAATCGAAACCACAGTCAATATGCATATTGGTGATCATTTGAGATTTAGACACTTTGATAACTAATGATCTTATGTTCGAATCCTACAAACTTTAACCTTACAGTGACCCGTTGTTAAAGAAAAATGGTAGCATCATAGATGATGTTCTTTAGAATATATACCTTCTAATATCATTCTACATCATGTTATGTTATAACTTAATATAGCATCATAGATGATGTATAGAATATATACCTTCTAATGTCATTCTACATTCATGTTATGTTGTAACTTAATATTATTATTTATTTTTATTATATAATAATGGATAATGAATTAAATATTTAATCAAATTATATGAAAAACATGTGAAAGAGAGTTCGATAGAATGGTACAAGTATTTTGAAGAAAAGTGGCGCAAAAGTAGCAAAAGTAGCAGGGCGTGGGATGAAGATTTGGATTTGGGAAAATATGAGTGTGTCGGTATCACATTTCAACCCGATGTCTCCTCTCCAATTCGGGTTGGTAACCGGTCCTTTTCTCTTTCACATTTTATTTATTTATTTATTTTGTGACGGTGTCTTCTCATACTCGACTCATTCAATGCAATGCTTGCTTGCTGCATAATAATAAAAGGACGGAATGAAACTTATCGAATGAAATTTATTAAGAAAATGAAATTTTGATATAAAATATCGATATCCACCATCATTGATACAATAAATGTATGTGACCAAAACGAAATATATTTGACAACCGTACTGATTATTGACTACTGCAACAAACAAGATTAAAACATTTATTACAAACACCAATCATCAAATATAGGATATGGCAATCTTATATAAAAGACAACCACACAATTTGAATCCTTATTTACCAAAAAGGTTGTGCAATAAAACATGTAAAATTAACCAATTAATTAGGAAAAGATCGCGGTTGCAAAAGACCAACAACAAGGGTAAAACCAGAAAGTAACAATTTTTTTATTTTTGTATTTCATGGTTGTTTTTATTTAACATGTAAATATTATAAGCACGCTAACAAAAAGCCAGGACGGGAAAACATAGCGATATTTACAGAGACTTAAGTGGATTGTGAAGTCAAATAACCCATTTTACAACTCATTTATTATTACTATTACCGAACCACGTAAAAATAAATCAACTATGGAATAAAAAATCACTTCTTATTTGTGTTGAAAACTGTGTCGTTACCAAATATACAAATCACCCACCAAGCAGTCAAGACAATAGCTTCAACAACCATTTTCTTGAGCTCGGCTTCATCGGGTTTTGAGAGCTCAAAGTGGGTAACAATGCTCAATTTTTTTTAGGGCTCAAATTTTATATAAAGTGGGTAACAATGCTCAATTTTTTTAGGGCTCAAATTTTATATATATATATA